CTTCGCTAACTGGTACGTGGGCACCTCAGACGCGTAGGCGGGATGCAAATACTGCAGCAATTACTGCTGCATCCATTCATCCATCATATATTCATCAACCAACCAGTCAGGCCAGGCGCGACAGACAGATGGTCTCCTCTCCGCCTGGAAGCTCTACACATCGGGCAGCCTATGCTCCTCCACCTGCTCTAGATTCTTTATGTTAACGAGTCCGCCGCTCTGGGAAGCCTCGGCCGGCGAAATGGGCCCCAGGCTCTAGCACGCTGGTGGGCCCGTCGGCGGCTCCAAGGACAGAAGAGCCCCACCCAGACGTCAACAAGACCGACAAGTCGTAGCAGACGGCCTTCTCCGAGTTCTGGTGAGGCAGCAGAAGAGCCTCCAGCTCGGATTTGCTCTCGGTGTGCTCCTCCTCCACCTCTCCCTTCAACGTCAACTGGTACGGGGTCACATGAGATGCGTAAGCGGGATGCAAATACTGCTCTTGTTGCATCCATCCATTCATTTATCCGTCAACTAGTCGGGCCAGGCCCAGCAGACGGACGGTCACCTCTCCGCCTAGGAGCTCTGCGCGTACGGCAGCCTAGGCTCCTCCACCTACTCTAGATTCTCCATGCAGACGAGTCCGCCGCTCTGGGAAGCCTCGGTCGGTGAAATGGGCGCAGGCTCCAGGACGCCAGTTTGCCCGTCGGTGGCCTCAAGGACAGAAGAGCCCCACCCAGTCGACAACCAGACAGACAAGTCGTAGGAGATGGCCTTCTCTGAGTTCTGGTGACGCAGCAGAAGAGTCTCAGGCTCGGACTGGTTAGGTGTTCTCCTCCTCCTCCTCTCCCTTCATCGCCAACTGGTACGTGGGCACCTGAGGCGCGTCGGCAGGATGCAAATACTGCAGCAATTGCCTCTGCTGCTGCATCCATTCATCCGTCAACCAGTCGGGCCAGGCTCGGCAGACGGACGGGCTCCTCTCTGCCTAGGAGCTCTACACATCGGGCAGCTTAGGCTCCTCCACTTGCTCTAGATTCTTCATGCAGACCAGTCCGCCGCTCTGGGAAGCCTCGACCGGCGAAATGGGCCCCAGGCTCCAGCACGGCTGTGGGCTTGTCGGCGGCTCCAAGGACAGAAGAGCCCCACCTAGACGTCAACCAGACCGACAAGTCGTATCAGACGGCCTTCTCCGAGTTCTGGTGAGGCAGCAGAAGAGCCTCCAGCTCGGATTTGCTCTCAGTGTGCTCCTCCTCCATCTCTCCCTTCAACGTCAACTGGTACGGGGTCACATGAGGTGCGTAGGCGGGATGCAAATACTGCTCCTGCTACATCCATCCATTCATTTATCCGTCAACCAGTCGGGCCAGACCCGGCAGACGGACGGTCTCCCCTCCGCCTAGGAGCTCTGCACGTCCGGCGGCCTGGGCTCCTCCACCTACTCTAGATTCTCCATGCAGACGAGTCCGCCGCTCTGGGAAGCTTCGGCCGGCAAAATGGGCCCTGTGCTTCAGGACGCCAGGGGGCCTGTCGGCGGCTCTAAGGACAGAAAAGCCCCACCCAGTCAACAGACGGACGGGTCGTAGTACACGGCCTTCTCCGATTCCTGGTGACACAGTAGAAGAGCCTCAGGCTCGGACTGGTTAGGTGTTCTCCTCCTCCTCCTCTCCCTTCATCGCCAACTGGTACGTGGCCACCTGAGGCGCGTAGGCGGGATGCAAATACTGCAGCAATTGGTGCTGCTGCTGCATCCATTCATCCATC